CAACATAACAAAATTGAAAAAAGTGAAGGGGGTCTGAATACTTTCGGAATGCACTGTATATTACATTTTAATGTGAAGGGATGAGTGTTAACTCCCCACATACATGTATAAAAGCAATGTATGCAGGAGAATTGGGGAGTACTGAGAGAACTCCAGTTAAAGGAATTTTTTTTCATTGTGCAACTTTTTTGTGTGGCAATTCTTAACAGGTCTTTCATTTAAAACCTGGATTGTCTCTAAGGAGTGTGTTTCTTGCCCAGTTCCTCTTAGTCCTTCACAGAAAAGCCTTAACTCTCATCAAATACATTGAAGATGATACGTGAGTTGTAAAATTAAAGGGAACAATGGGGTTGGGTATCTTGTATCCTGACATAATTTTAAAGTTTTCTGGTTAACTCCATCTTTATCCTCTGATTTACAGGCAAAAAGGCAAAAAACCTTTTAAATCTCTCCGTAACTTGAAGATAGACCTGGACTTAACAGCAGAGGGCGATCTTAACATAATAATGGCCTTTGCTGAGAAGCTCAAGCCTGGATTACATTCGTTCCTTTTTGGCCAACCTTTCTACACCAGCGTGCAGGAACACGATGTCCTAATGTCATTTTAAAGATCTTTTAAAGATCTCATAATACTATTCAAAGGTTTTGGTAAAGGGAATATGATGTTTCTCTTCGTAATCACGTGCTGCTCTCCACTGCAACTGAATGTAAGGTTACACTACAACCTATAGAAAGTGGAAGAGGGAGGACAATTTGCTGTCAAATCTATTCAACTTAGGCAGGCATCAAAGGCTCCATTTTATTTATAGTAAATATCATTATGTATGGTCAAAATGCTAATCAGAGCTTTCAAAACAACACTTTTTAAACAAATTTTATTAGAGCACATTGGCTTTATCATTTTTGTTCTTGCTTTTGGTGTTGGGCAGAATGAGACATTTCCCCCTTCTCTATTTGGAGATCCTAGACTTCAAACAAATGTCAAATGCCAGCTGAAGACCATCATTTCCAATGGGTATCCAGTTTAGATAGTACCAACTATCTTTTTGTCCTCTTTCCATACTTTTCAACAGCTACCAGAAACTTGTAATGATATCTAACTATTTAAATATAGCTATAAAACACTATGCTTAGAAAAGTGACTTCTTAGAATAGATGGAATTGGACATGATCCTACAGAGTATTTTTAGATTAGTAGGGTACCACCACCACACTAATGCCCAGCAAATCCATTCTGTTGCTGATTGTTAGATTATAATGGATGCCACACTGCTTAATGACTGACAATAGTTGTACATATTTTAAAGGTCAAAATAAATACAAAAGCTAGGCTTTTGTTAAAGGCAGCAGCTAAGTAGGTCTTTTGTGCCCTGAATGAAAGCCAAATAAATCTACTTATTCTACATTTACAAATTGTTAACAATATTGTTTTTTTCTTAAATGACATCAGCTTCAGCTTGTTTTCTATTCTTCTTCAGGTCTGCATAATATTGAATATTTATATTGATTTCATTATGCAGATTTCTTGAAGTAAAAAATCTAAATATCTGCTATTACACATTTCAGTGCATGTTATTTTTTTTTAAATGTAATTATAGTGAAGGGAGGTTGCCAAAGGCAGATATATTTAAGTGCAATATGTGTATGTTTAACATGATTTGGGAAATGCACTTGTCAGGTCAAGGTTTAATGCTATTTTTCAGCATTTTATAATATGAACTGGTGTTTTTATGGAAACCTATTATTTTTCCTGATCTGGTAGCTATAGTTTATGTATGATGGCTGAAATGAATACATAGAGCTCTCAGAAGAAGTTTCCCACATTAACTTTATGGCTTGGGAATTGTGAGTGCCAGAGTTTTCCTGTTAAGGAAATGAGCAAGGCAATCTCTATCAATCTGTGGATGTCACAATTCCACAGAACTCTGGATCTGTATTTCTTTATTTCTAAAATGAGATGCTATTTTGCATTGGGAAAGCTATCAAAGCAGTTATAACTGAATGGGGAAAAAAGGCAGAAGGGAAATATCCCTTCCTCTTAGCTCTGTGTGGAATAATCCACAGATGAATACTAAATAACTTGAGGTTAAAAATACATTTCATCCCAGAGTAAATAGCTTTGGTCATGTTGTGCTCAGCAAGAATCAAGGAATCAAACAGTTCTATAGTTGAAACTACAACTATATGTGGCCTTCTGCATTTATAATGGAGAATATTGGAAATGACAAAGAGGTTGACCTTGTAGCCCTCTAGCTGAACGCTAACCCCAGAAATCTTACCAGTCATAGTTTAAGAGTAAGGAATGCTAGAAGTTGTACAATCACACTTGAAGGATCTTGCCCTGATTCCTTACTTTGCTAATAAGTATTTGGATTTTTCTAGGATACTGTTACAATAAATATTGGAGGAATATTGCAGGTGACTTAGAAGTTTGCACTTTTCAGAAAATCTTGTGATAGTTCCAGCAGTTAGCTTAAAATAAATTTTATGCCAATTATCTTACTGTTGAATCTATCAATTAGATAATTCAGTATCTTAATCAGTGTTTACTCTTGTTTAGGCATTCAGTTCAATTTGTCTGAGATAGACTGGAAAAGGTATCCAGCATTCTCTTCATTACTGGTTTGGTGATGGGGTTTGTAGTACTAAATGTCTGACAGGCACAGGATTGAGAAATGTTGATCTAAACTTGATGCATTGTAGGTTTTAACATATTTTTCATGTTTTCTGTCCTTCAAAAAATGAGAAAATATATGATCTACCAAAAAGCATTATTTCCTGTTTTCTTAAAATTGCACATTGAGAGGTGGCATGCAGCATTTAATTTTGTTTCAGTGGTTTACATGGTGTTACATTCTTATGAATAACAAGAATGTTACCGCATACAGTCCACATTATTGAATCCTATGCCTAACTGTATCTTGATGTATTTTGACAAATACAACTGCCATTACAAAAAGAAAAGTGTGGCTTGAAACAAATTGTAGTATCAGCTTTATTCACTATGGAATGTAAATACTAAAAATTTACCAAATTTTGATGCACTTTTGTCTTGCATATTTATGTAACAAAAAAGTAATATCACCTTGATCTGTGTTCCATATTTTATGGTTAAACATTAAATTAAGCTATTGAAAAAATGTGGCATTTTTAAGATTTTAAAGCAAGAATATCTTTCTTACTGTAGGCTTCTAGCAGTTTTTTAGCTGCAGCAAAATTCTCTTTCCTTCTGGATGGTTGAAACAGTGGTATTACAACAGCAACAGCAAATGAGGGTCTCACAAAAAGTCTGCTTCGTTTGGCACCTTTGTTTTACTACAGAGATCTACCCCATTTTAAACACTATTCTAAGATGGTTAATGATTTACAAAACCTGTAATCAGTCAGAACAGCACAAATAAAAGTGAAATAGCAGTCACAGAATTTAATTGCACATAAAACCAATACAACCAGAATTTTAAGGGCCTGGGAGAATAAAACACTCCTTGGGTAGAGATGCAAGGGCAGCCTCCCCGCAGAAAAAAATGCAAAGTCAGTGGATCCCAGCCAGGAAAGCCAGATCGCCTGTCTATTATCCTTTCTTGAAAAGACAGGTGCTGCACAGGCAGCTTTCCATTAAATAGGAGAGCCTTCAAGCACCCAGATCCCAAGCTTTAAAGTGATCGCCAAAGCTTGAACAAGTCTGAAATGAAATTAAAAAAAAAAGCTTGTGAAATACATTCTCTACTTCTACCCATATGAACAAGCCAGTCCTTGCAGAATCAGATCAAGGTCAAGATGGACTCATTCCCACCAAACTCCAGAGGTGGTTTTTAGATATGCATATCCCAGTGACAGCTGGTGGGGGACAGAAAGACAGTAGGGGACCCAGTTGTGGGACTTATTGCAGATTTGGGGGGGCACCTTCAAGTTAATGTTGATTCTTAGTGACTGCCTGGACTGGTCCCTGCAGTTGTCTTGATAAGATTTTCGGAAGTGGTTTGCCCTTGCTTGCTTCCTAGGGCTGAGAGAGAGTGAGTGGCCCAAAGTCACCCAGCTGGCTTCATGCCTAAGGCAGGACTAGAACTTGATCTCCTGGTTTCTAGCCCAGTGCTTTAACCACTACATCAAACTAGGTCTCATTGCAGATGCAGGTAGTCCTCACTTAACAATGGTAATTGGGACCAGCAGCTCCATCACTAAGTGAAGCAGTTGTAAAGAGCCACATCACATGACCATACCGACTTATGACAGCAGTTGTGGCAGTCCCAGTTGCCATTGTTAGGTGAATCCCATGTGGTCGCACCATCCTGCAATCACATGATCACCATTTGTGACCTCCTGCTGGCTTCCCCATTGACTCTGCTTGTCAGAAGCCAGCAGTGAAGATCACAAATGGTGATCACATGACTGTGATGCTGCAACCATCAAAATTGCGAGTTGGTTGCCAAGTGCCCGAATCATGATTACATGACTGCAGGGATGCTGCAACAGCTGCAACCACAAGGACCTGTCACAAGTGCCCCTCATTCAGTGCCGTCATAACTTTGAATGGTCACTGAACAAGTGGTTGTTCAATAAGGACCACCTATATAGCAGTCACAAATGAAAAATTGTCTTACCTTGGTTCAGGATTTCATGTTGTCATTCTTGGTTCTGGTTGAAGAAAAAGATGTGAATGTCATGCCAACAATTCTCCAGTCAGGCATCAAACTACAGCAGATTTTTCATGTGATTCATTGGAATTAACTTTTTCAAATGATTTTTTTTCTGTATAACTTAAGCTCTTATGTTCCTTTTATTCTTGTTTGTGAGCAGTCTTGAATTACATACATAGTTGAAAAATAGGAGATTAAGAAAAAATAAGCAGGTATGTTTACAGAAGATTCAAGGCAGCACTGATCAGTTTTTAGTGGACATTCACGGAATCTTGCTGGACAAAGCAGACTTTGATCTGATCTGGTTAAGCACTTCTTAAATAAACATTGTTACTACTACAGTTACTCAGCAAAGCTGAATTTCTCAAACTGGTTAAGAAATCCTTAATTCACGATCTTGCCTTTAATTTTAAGTTGCATTCAAGGGGATCTCACAATAAAAAGAATGGACAATGGAAAACTGAAATCAGCAAACTGATATGACTACCTTAGACAGTTAATGATGGATATCCCAAAAAAGATTATTAGTTATATAATTATGATTATTCTGTTACTGTTGCCAGAAGTATCTAGATGCTTTTAAAATTTTCTGCCTCCAGTGCCAAAACAATTTAACCAGACATGGATACTTTGATTGGGAGAGAGAATATTTCCTACACAGGGCAAAATGTCTTGGGGCTGCCTCCAGATGATGACATTTTGCAGTTTTTCAAAGTTGTGTTATACAAAAGCCAGCATGGCTGGCTGGGGAATTCTGGGAGTTGAAGTCCACTCATCTTAAAGTGGCCAAGTTTGGACAACACTGCCCTAGGGGCACAGATAATGGAAGCCAAAACCAACAGCCACTGTGCCTTTATCTAGAAGCTAATCATGAGTAGATACTTGAGATTTGCTACCTCAGTTTTTCTTCTTTATAATCAATACCACTGTTCCTTTAATGGTACCGATACTCATTTTGATCACAAGCAGACATTCGGAAACTTTTCAGTGAAGCTTTTCTATGGCATGGAAGCAAATTGTGGGAAATTCTCTACTTATTTTAACTTCTTTTTTAGACTTTTTGTTAAAAAAAAAAAAACTAGGTTTCAGTGCCATTAGAATCAAATTTTATACCTAGACCATGTGAAAGCTGAACTCCATGGCTTACTACTTCTTGAAGGGTTGGCACATCTCTACAGTAGGTAGCCTTACAATCAGCATGTTGTTGAATCTACCTCTCTTGGATCCTAGTCCAGTATCCTGAATATTACACCACACTGTTTCATACAGACTCATAAACAGAGGCAGTTCTAGGTCCATATCAGATCTGAGGCAAAGGCCCATGTGATACAAGATTCTATAAACGGTGTATTTGTTTAGATGTATATGTGCACTTTTAAAATAAAACATTTTACAATTTCACAACGGTTAACAGAAGGAGTGGTTTAGGAATTGCTGAGGATATAAAGAATAATTTTCTCTCATCTCTGAACAATTGCCTTTGCCCTTTCCTGTACATCTGCAGAACAAGGGTGTATATCTAATGATACAATGATGTCATTGTAGAATGTGACCTTAATAGTTTTGGTGGAGCCCCTTTATACAATCATGTCCTTCCCTCCACAGGGAGGAAAAGCATGTGGTGAAAGCGAATATCATACAGGCTCACTCGACAACACATTTCAGTATTTGCTAAAGAGCTTGTTCCAAACTAAGAATAATGTGAAGGATCTTCATCTTCTTACCAGTGAAAAGCTAGAGAAAGCTAATACACGAAGTCAAGAGATGTCCTCCAGTGCCTATGGTATGATATTCCTCCTATGTTCCACCAAAAAGGAAAGAGGAGGAGGGAGAAGAGAAGGGTTTGCAGTCTTAATTTTGACTGGATTCACACACTGCTCTTAGCTACGATTTGTTGAATAAGTCATAGCAACTACGTTTGTGTATGTTAACCCCTATCCTAAAATCAAACACACCACTTTTTGGCTTACCATGATGCATGAACCCAGTCTTTCTTGTAATGACAAAAGTCTTGGGAAATGCCATGCATCTGAATTTCTTGGAGAAATGAGGGGACAAAAAGCTAGAGAAACCCTCCATATAAAGAGAACAAACTACTTTTTCCCACCCAATAAACAGCTGGTTCTCTTATCTTTTAGTGTTTTTTTTTTTAAATCCTCAGATTAAAAAGTTTTGCCCTTTGTCCACCTTCTCTATGGCTATGTCTGTTTAATAACCAACAAGATGTGAAACTTTAGATCCTGGGTAATAACAAATCTCTTAAGAATCATTACTTCCCCTAGTAAATGGTTAGCTGAAGGAATTTGCTTTCATTTGCTGCACCGCCACCAATTTGGCAGTTTTTAAAAGAAGGGAATTATGTTTTCAAAGAGAACCCTCTCAAAGACTTCACGTTATATATAGCCAAAAACAGCAAGGTGGTCTCTGAATATCTGAGATATACAAATGGGAGGGTGCTATGGCCTTTGCCCTCCATCCTGTTTATTAACCCTACCAGGGGTATTTAATGGGCCTTTGGTCTGGTTCAACATGGCTCTTTTTATGTTCCTCAGTACCCATCTGATGCCCTTCACACTTCAACTTCTATGATCCCCAACCAGAGAAAACTTATCAGGAGCTCTAGATTCAAACACTGAGAGCCACTTCGGGGTAGCGATTAAAGCATCAGGTTAGAAAGTGGGGGCACCGTGAGTTCTAGTCCCACCTCAGGCACAAAGCCAGCTGGGTGGCCTTGGGCCAGTCGCTCTCTCTCTCGGCCCTAGGAAGAAGCAGGCAAGGGCAAACCACTTCTGAGAATCTTGCCAAGCAAACTGCAGGGACCCGTCCAGGCAGTCTCCAGGAGTCAACACTGACTCAAAGGCACAAAAAAATTACAAGATTACCCGGAGGCTCTTGTTCTCTTCAGCTTCCCCCTAACAGTTAGTACTTCTGGGGCATTTCATAAGGCTTCACCCTTCGCTTTTGCGAGCCTTTTCAGAGCGCCGCCCTACGTCCCAAAGGATCTCCTGCTGGCCTCACGGGGTTCTGCTGGCAACCAGCAATCCCGCCTTCGCTGAAGTAGAAGATAAAAACTTTAGCCACGCTCCCTTCGGCCGGCTCGGGCGTTGCGAGAAGGGCGCTGCAGTACTCGCCGTGTCCGCCAGGGGAACCTCTCGGATGCCCTTCCGCGCGGCACGGCATTCAGCCGCGCGAGTCCCGCCGGAGTGCAGGGCGTTTGTTGATAGCGCGGCGGCGCCTTGCGGCGCGAATCCGCATCCTTCCTTATTTTTCTCGCTAGCCTCCCGTGGGAAGGAGCGCGGCGTGGGTAAAGCGACCCACCGGCCCGTTGCACTAAACTCCCCATTTTCGCTGGCGCTGGAGTTTTGCTTTGCTTTTTGTTTCCCTCCCTGGAATTCCCTTTGGAGTTGATCTCTGTGAGATTGCAAAACGCCGTCCCGTTCTCCGTCCGGTATCCTTGCCTCGTGGAAGGACGAACGAGAAGAAGCCGCCGCCTGCCCCAGCGGGTTGAATGAAGGTAAATCCCAGGGAATGCCTTCTGCTTGGGCTGCCTCCTCCTCCTCCCTGCAACAGCCTCCTTGGATTCCTCTCTGAAACGGACGAGGATGTGTGTGTGTGTGTTTGCGTGCGCATGTGGCTGTGTTGCCGAGGGAGCGGAGAAGGAGGGAAAGCTGCGCATCTTGAATTGTGCAACAAAGTGCCGTGGAAGTTGGCTCCCTGAGCCCTTTTCCTCGTCCTTCGCAGCGCAGTTTCAGGCGGCGCTTCTTGGTCTCTTCCCCAACTCGGCGGGATTCTCTTACTCCTAAGTAAGCGTGGAGTGGGATTGCCGCCTCATCCTCCGGCATAGGCTTTCTCGGAAGTCGGTGGCAGCGATTGCAATGGAATTTACCCCCGAAAAGGCTGAGGAAGGGCAAGGAGGGTCACGCGGTTGCTGCTTTTTTCCAGCGGCAGACTCCAACCCATTATCATTACTGTTTTGGAGTCTTTTAGCAGCTGGGGCGCCGGCCCCCTTCCTCTTTCTCCTCCTCCAAATGGCTGTAAAGGACCGTTTGAATTAAAGGCGGGGGGGGCGGGGGGAGGTTTTTGTTGTTGTCGAAAAAGTCATGCCTCGCTGGAGTCATGTGTTTGGCTGCTGCTGTCTGTTCCATCGCCTTTCGTAAGAAACCGGGTTGATTGCCCGGGAGACAGAAATTGCAACATATTCAAGACTTTGGGGGGGGCAGCAGTAAAGGGGCGTCGTGGCATTCGTGGGAGGATTGATGCCAAATAAACTTTTATATTTTATTTTAATTCACGGGAAGTTTAGCGCCCCAGCTACATTCCACAAATCCAAGTCACCCTGCCGTCCTGGGAAAAGCCAGCTTAAAATAAACCACAGAAAGCTTAGCTCAACTCAGTCCCAGGTAAGTTGCACAGGACAGCGGCCTTGGCTTCCCTAATTTTTTTTTTTTTTAAGTAGGAGGGGACTGGAATAATTTCTTCTGGATCTCCTGTCAGACATCTGGAGCCCCTCCTTTTGATGATGTGCAAAAGTTTCTTTCAGATTTTGCTTTTTAAGCGTTTCTTCAATAGGGATGAACAGTTTTTTTCATGACCCTCACGCAAAAGATGGAAAATTTCATTCTCTTTTTTGTGGATCAAAAGCAGCCAATGGGCTATTGTTTGAAACCCACATAGCTGGGGGGTGAAAAGAGCAGTGTGAGAACAGTTCCCATGAAAAAGCTTTTAAGAACCCAGTTTGGGGAGAAGGAAATTTGTTAAGGAAAAGGAAGGGGTGAAGGTAAGTAAAAAAAAAAATAAAAATAGAAATCCTAGGTTGGAGGAAAGGAAGGGTTATTCCAATTCTTTTTCTATTCTGTACTATTCTATTCTGTACTAAAGATATTAGCCTCACTAATGTTAAGGGAGCTCGATTTTACTGCCTTTAGGGAATCTCAGACTGGTTCTTCAGGATCTGCTGCTTTAAATAGCTTTGATTTGTATCTCTGAAAGGAGGTGAAGCCTGAAATAAAAACAATGTCAACAAGTGTTCCTTATCTGAAAAGAGGAGGTAGGAGGAGGTTTACTGATCCAAAGCCAAAAAAAAAGGGAAAAAAAGTGGCCGTTCTCAGTGTTGTTTAGCAGCCTTTTCCTACTTCATCTTTCCTCTCCATAGGCGCAAGTGGGAACCTCAAAACAGATTCTTTTTCTTAGGGATCGTAATTGCTCTGCTGAGGGGAAAGGAGGCCCACTGGGAAAGCTTCAGGATTGGTGACCTGTTTGCCACCTTGTGGCAATGCTTAACAAGCAATGCTTGTTAAAAATGGAAGGGATGTGGGGTTATTTAAATGGAAGCTAGAGGCTGAATCAGTGAAAAGCCTGGCCTCATGCAGTCAGTGGATTTGGAGAAACGCAGCACTTGGAGGGAGAACTGTTGTCGTCTTTTAGTGAGGAAACCGAGTCAGGTGACTGGAATCCTTATTGGGGCCACTCTGTAGTCAAGTATCTTGCAACGCTGATTTAAATATTTTAATATGAAA